TGGTTTCGGCAGTGGCACTAGCTCCACAACAAATCCAGGATACAGGAAACAGCAGCCACGAGGGAAGCAGTATGCTAGCAGCAAACTAATCAACGGCAACAACACTACCACGTAACACCCTGAAATACATTGCATACTTAATCACCTTGTCGATAGCGTCCACCACTTTCTANTCCACCACTTTCTGGTAGATGTCCAAGAGCTCCTTCTCTCGCGGCGTGTTCTCCCGCCTTCTCGGCGCTTTGAGTGCTCGCTCTCGCGCTCGCTCTCGCGCTTCTCGCTCTCGCGCTCGTTGTTCCGGTGTCTTCTTCCTCTCCTCGCGCCTTCTGTGCTTCAATCGTTTTTTGTTCAACCCCGCAAACCTCCCCTTGGCTCCATCCCCCGACGCCACCCATGTTCCTCGCCCAGGCCCACTGCATCGGCCGCGTGCCCCGTCTCGTGCGCGGGCGGGGTCGGCGTACAGCCCGTCGAAAAGGTTCGTCCTCGAACTTTTTCGGACGGTCTCACCACTTGTACCGCTAGAGGCTGCGTGCCCGGCTCCTCCCACAGCTGCTGTTTCGCCGGTGTCTCCCACAGCTTCTGCTTCGCCGGTGTCCTGAGGCTGAACGTCATCATCAGCCTTGTCGCCGCTCTCTCCGTCAGGGCCGCGAGAGCGGTCGCGGCTTGCGTCTAGTGCGTCGAGAAAACTGTCCTCGCCGCTGGAATAAAGAAGCTCTGCAGCTCTAGCCTGGTCATCCTCACCAAACCAATCTTCCAGCGGAACACCAGCACCCGAACATACCAGCATGTCGGTCTCGCTCTCGCTGCTGTCGCCACGGCTGGTGCGGTCATGTTCTTCTTGCGGGCTGCAGATCTTCTCGGCATCATGATCACTGCTGTCCGCACCAACATCTCCCACCTCAACATCCATCTCCACCGCACCTTCAGTCTCCATAATTTGAGGCGAACCATGCTGCCCTTCCTGCTGCTGAGCTGGGGGCTTCAGCCATGCTGCCAAGCTCCCCGCCATCCCGGCGGACTCCTTGCTCCACCGCGCTCGCCTGTGGCGATGCTGCGTCGACCGGTGGAGGATACACGGAGTCTCCTGTTCGTGCGTAGAAGTAGAGCACACAGTTTGAACGCTAGCCCACCTTCTCTACTTCATATTATTCCTCCTCCTCCTCCTCCCCCTCCTGCTCCTGCTCCTGCTCCTCTTCCTTAACCTGGATGCCACCTATATGTGGAATCGCCTGTTGTCGTCACCAACCAAAAATTACCATTACACGGCGTGCGGCAAGTGAAGGTGCAATAACATTAGCCAACATTCTAGAACCTGGAAGTGAGCGGAGAACATAACTCTACTCCATCGCACACAAAGCTCTCGAAACGCGTCACGAGTCACAAGCTTTTCCAGCGTCATGTTGCCTCCAGTTTATTTCGACAGAACAAGCAGTGGCGGCCTGGGTGAGAGAGCTCTTGTATGAGACCCAAGTACGTCGCGACGGAGTGGCAGAGAGCGGTAACGACCCATGTTTCATGAAGCACGATTTCACCTTCTGACGGTCGTACTACGCGCGGGTGGTATCAATGTTTCCGGCAAACGGGCATCGACGGACATGGAGTCGAAGTTGATACCATGAATAACCATCAGATGCAGTTGCACGCTTGCCAAGCGACATCGTGGACACGTTGCACAGGCACATGGTTAGTCGAGACTAAACGCCAACCTCCAAGCATATCAACATCACACGAGACCGAGCTCCCTGGGTGCCTACCTCGGCTTCCTCTTGCCTCGCCTTGTCGGTGATTCCAACCTCCTAACCCACCTGTCCGTCGAGTGATGAATTGTGTCCTCTATCCTCGGTGCTATGTGACGTGCAGCGCTCCTCGTTTTCGTCATCCGAGATGTCTGACTCGCCGAGCTGTAGCAACCCAGGCGTTTACGGCATCCACATGAGGGAAAAAAGGGCGTTTCAAACGTCCCAGGAGGGTGGTGGATATATTCGATGTGTGTGTCTCGACCTCCCCTCCATCCGTACGCGGCAAATGCGGGGGATACACGGAGTCTCCTGTTCGTGCGTAGAAGTAGATAGTCGAAAAGTAGCCGTTACGTAGGACGCAGCTGGGACAACTTGAAGGGTATGTGCTGAGAGGCTTTGGATGATAGTGCGGAGTCCCCGTGTTCTCTCGAGAATTGGGGCCTCTCCTCCTTCTCCCTCTCTCCTCTCTCATGCGAGCTAATACACACAGTTAAACAGCAGCCCCAAGTCCGCCGGCCCTTAACAGGGCTAGGGCTCACGAACACGCTAGCGTTCGTCCTCCCGGGAGGATCCGCAAGACGGTGCGGGCTATGCCAAGCGAGAGGCAGCGGGGTTCCAGTAGCCAGGGTACGCAACTCTGAACTGGACGCTTTCTGACTGGAACGGAGCAGTA